AGAAACGAATAAAATAGAATGAATATGGCCATCTTCTGAAATTTGAAACACCTGTGTATCCCTGTGAGGGCAAACATGGCCCTCACACGGGTGTAGACTATAGTATGCCCCTGTGAACAAGGCCTTATCAGTATGCTTAAAGTTCTGCTGAGGTTGGAAGAAGTCTAATAATATCCTGATTATAAAAAGAGCTAGCCATACATTGTTAGTTTTCTTTCCCTCAGCCAGCGATAGATGGATGAATCCCCCCGCTGGGACACTGTATACTGACAGCTGCACAGTTAGCTGTCAGAATACGCTAATCAGCTGCTGCAACCACTGATTGAGAAAAGTTCTCCAGCACGTCCCTTCCACAGAGGTCAATCAAATGATTAACTTCTGTCGATATGGACTACCAGCTTTAGATAACTACTTAGATCAATTAAAAAGAAATATTCATTCATTTCAACTATTCACAAACTCAGATTTTGTCTAGATGAAGCAGCACTTGTGTTTTCATAAATGTGGCAACAAAAAATAGATTAAATAATATACAGCTTTATATAAAAAGTGAAATAGAAAATCACACAAAACAGCGCTCTCAACCTTCTCATATACCAAAACTAATAAAACCAATATATATGTGAATATAAATGACATATACAAAAAATTATAAAATTATAAATAATAAATGAAATAAAAATAAACTGCCACCAAATAAAGTGCAAATATGTGCCAAAAATATATATACCCAAAAAATATGTATTTAAATCAAAATAAAAAGTCCACAAAGTAAAGTCCAAATTATATATATAATCTTTCTTCAATGAAGATATGGAATCTTTCTCTAATAGAAATATTTTCTCCACAAACGTGGATATTTCAGTGCTCAACACCCCATCAAAGTGCTAACTCACCAAATACTACTGATAAACCAGCATATCTTTCAAATATCAATGGATGTGGAAAATTCAGCAGCATAATGATAATACTCATTCATCAGATGATTGATCACATAACTCTCCATCATGGTAAGTATAAGCCACATGTGAATAGATAAAAAACACGCGTCATAGCATAATACCGTTTAAATGTTTATTCTTCAAAATTCCCCCTTTAAAAACACACTCACATTATGCAAGTAAAGATAAAGCCTTTTTGCACATAAAATCGTCTGCAGCCTGCAGCACACAGTCTACTGCTCCCAGCACACACAGTGGTGTCTCACCAGCCAGCAACAGATGACGCGGTTGCGGTTACGTAGTCCAGCCACGTGATAGCGGCGTACATGATGACGTCACTGCTCGATCACGCCCTAATACAGCTTAATTAATACATTAAAGTACAGTTAACCAAATCGTCATGGGGAACCTATTTCAGAGCAAAATGCACAACATATCAATTAATGGATTGACGTGTTTCACATATATCTTGCTTCACCAGGATCCACTTGCACATGTGACCTCAAGATATGGCAAAAAATGGAAAATCTAGAAGATTAAAATCACATACTCCAGGAGCAGGCAACAAAGTAGCAGTCCAAAAATATTATATATGATAATACAAACCTATACAAACTCTTGCAATTGAACAGAAATGCTGGATGGGGAAGCTAAAGTAAAGCAAAACCAAGAACCTTCAAACAGGGTCAACCAATTTTCCCCCATCAAAGCTCAGTACTAGAAGTGATCCCCACATTTCCAAAAACCAGCATCCTCTACTGCCGGCTTTTCTCCTGACACAGATCTCACATAGACAGAAATGTTACTCGAGCCATTTGACATGTGAATTTTACCCAGGAATTGGCACCTTGTGGCAATATGGTTTTAACTGTATTTAAATGTATTAATATAAGCTCCGTATTATTTTTTCTAATGGTTTTTGTGTTGGCACATTTCAAATCAGGAAATTTTTGATATTGTACTTGTGTAATGCAGGGGATGGTGCCTTAATCTACTACATAGGTGGTTTCTCTTTCTTCTAGTAAAACATTTTGCGAGTTTACACTTTGTAGGGTGATATCTTAGTTATTTCATGAAGTTTATATTACAATAATAAGCAATATGCTCAATCATACTAAACAATATAGAATTATTTGCCAGGTGGTTGATAAGGAAATGCCACTGGAGGGCAGTCTGCACATATGGATGAGGGTGGGCAATGCGTGTTTTCTAGCTCACAAAAGAAGATGTGAGGCAAGGTTCCTGCACACCTAAGAATTAAGGCCATATTTAACAGTATTCACTAAATATCTTCTTAGCTTAGGCACATATACTGACATAATTATACATATGGATTAAAAATATTTAGAGGGGCATATTTATAAGCAGTAGCCTCCCTAGCGGTCTGAATATGTCCATATTTCTGTGCTCAAAGCGGTACATTTTTTTGCATGGAAATATGTATTTTTTTATTGTAGGCCTGTAATTTTTAGGAATAACTCACTGAAATCTGTCCGAACAAGAGTCTAGTAAACATCCCGGGTATGTTAAAATTTGAAACACAAAATCATAAATTATAATTTATTAAATAATCATAAAAAATAATAATATAATAATAAATTTAATTAAATAATATAATCAAACCAAAAACACTGAAATTTGAAATAGAGCGCCAAGTTCGCGCATCACTGATCTTAGACGCAAAATCGTTTTCAGTGTCTGATGACGAATTTCCTCACAAATCATTATCACTCAATTCTGCAAGTGGTTCTGATTTACTATCGCTGTTCTCTAGCTGGTCTAAAACTGCTTTGACCTAAAGGAACGCTTTTTGGACGCCATGGACATTTCTCAGTTTCCAGGCAGAAAGAACAGTAAAAATGCAGGCAGGGCGCCGGACAAAGCACTCGGGACAATATGTATGTGAAATGGTTTGATACAGGAATGTTATACTATGTGATTTTAGTGAATTTAGTGAATGTCACTTTTACAAATTTCCCGTTCCGTCCCCCGTACGTCCGAACGGAACACAGAAGACAGATGCCGGCATCTGCCGGAGGACATTGCAGGGGACACTGCAGGGAGGACATTGCGGGAGCGCAGGACAAGGTAAGAGAAGAACAGATCCCGGAGCAGCGCTGCAGGGTATTCCCAAGTGTAGCTCGGGGTTACCGCTTGTGGTGCTGAAACTTTTAAAATATGTCCCTTATGCTTATGTTTAAAATGCTACCACTCATGCTCCATGTAATGTACACTCACTGGACACTTTATTAGGTACACCTGTTCAATTGCTTGGTAACACAAATTGCTAATCAGTCAATTATGTGGCAGTAACTTGGGGTTTTCAGGCATCTAAACATGGTGAAGGTGGCCCATATTCTGAAAATATATAATGTCTGGGGGTTCTAAAAATGCAGATTTTTCATGTACAACCCCTGGCAAAAAGTATGGAAACACCACTCATTCATTCACTTGTTTAATTTGGTAGGAAAAAAAAAACTAATTGCAGACATGCCTCAAAACTATTTTCAGTTAACATACCAATCTTCTGGCTTTAAGAAAAAACACTTAAAAAAATAAAAAAAGAATGAAAACTATAGTCAGCTGCAACTGTTCTTGCAGATCAAGCAGAGGAAAGAAATATGGAATTGCTCAAATCTGAGGAAAATATTATGGAATCATGAACAAAAAACACTGCAGTACACCACTAGTACTTTGTTGCACCACCTCTGGATTTTATAACAGCTTGAATTCTCTGAGGCATGGATTTAACTATCCACAAACCGTATTTGTTCATTAATTCGGTTCTAACTTAAAGGAATGTTTTAACAGCTTTTGCCCTATGGCAAGATGCATTATCATCCTGAAAAACGATGTCATCATCACCAAACATTCTTTCAACTGATGGAATAAGAAAACTGTTATCTCTCCCATACCTTTACCTGACATGCAACCCCATATCATCAATGATTGTGGAAATTTTAATGTTTTCTTCAGGCAGTCATCTTTATACGGCACCAAACAAAAGCTCCAGAATCATCACCCTATTCAATGCAGACTCATCACTGAATATCACTTTCATCCAATCATCCACAGTCCATGATTGCTTTTCCTTAGCCCACTGTAACCTTATTTTTTTCTGTTTAGGTGTTAATGATGGTTTTCCTTTGGCTTTTCTGTATGCAAATCCCATTTCCTTTAGGAGATTTCTTACAGTTCGGTCTCAGACATTGACTCCAGTTTCTGCCCATTTGTTCCTCATTTGTTTTGTTTTGCATTTTCTGTTTTCAAGGCATATTGCTTTAAGTTTTCTATCTTTACACTTTGATGTCTTTCTTGGTCTGCCATTACGCTTCCCACGCTTGTTAATTTTGCCATGAATTGAATACTTATGGGTAAGTGCAGTGTGGTGCAGCAGCAGTAACTACACAGAGTCCAAATGCAGTAAACGGAATTTGTAGTGAAGGCAAAGTTCAGTGATCAGCCCAGTAGGAAGGCACCCGACTAGAAACACTCACAGGTTTCAACAGCAATGTGGAGCGGAGCAGGCTCAGATGTGCCAACAGCATCTGTCTCAGAGGGTGTGCCTAAATTGGAGGATTCCAGGAAGGATGGTGCGTCCTTAGCCTGTCTCTACTCATCTGGAACCTTTTCCTACTGCTGTTCACTTTCCTGTCAAACGAGAGACCTGACCCTACACTGTCTATTTGCAAAATGCACGCCCTGCCTTGGAGCCAGGGTCTTAAATAGACTCTGCCTGACCCACAATGGCTGCCACAGTCACTTGGAGCTGCAGCATCCAACTGGATCACTTTACCAGTGATCTAAGAAACCATAGAGAAGATGTTCCTCCTGACTTCCTCTCGCCCCTAAGGTTGCGCACCACCTGCATCTGAGAAAAGAGACTTCACCTGCCTACATGCCGATTGGTTGTTATTGATAACAGTTACCTTATTTTCTAAGATTATGTTAAAGTTTTTAATGAATTGACCCCAATTTATTATCATGAAGTGGATACAATGTAATTACAGTTATACTGAGCTGTATTGTGCTCCATTTATATCCGTGACATAACGTAATCAGGGGCGGACTGACCATTTGGAAATTCGGGCACTGCTTGAGGGCCCGGGGTCAGTAGGGGGCCCCATGAGATGCCCCTGGTACCTTTTTCATAGGCTTTTTTTTAGTTTGGGCAAGGACATAGGGGCCCCATGATTCCCTATTGCCCGGGGGCTCCATGAGTTGTCAGTCCGCCCCTGAACGTAATGCATATTTTCTAATGTTTTTCACAGCATTCATTTCTCCTTAGTTAAGAAACTCGCAGTGCATAACCATTACTTAACTGCATCTTCAAAGTACCTGTATTTCCCCCTACATTTTTATCGAGGCAATGACTCCAGGTGATGATGTTCTCAAAGTAGAATTGGAGAATCCATAATTTAACTTCCTTGTCATTCCATTGCTGTGAATGTAACATGACCAGGGGTGGACTGACAACTCATGGGGCCCCCGGGCAATAGGGGATCATGGGGCCCCTGTGTCCTTGCCCAAACTCAAAAAAGCTTATGAATAAGGTACCAGGCAGGGGCGGACTGACAACTCATGGGGCCCCTGGGCAATAGGGGATCATGGGGCCCCTGTGTCCTTGCCCAAACTCAAAAAAGCCTATGAAAAAGGTACCAGGGGCATCTCATGGGGCCCCCTACTGACCCCGGGCCCACGGGCAGTGCCCGAGTTTCCAAATGGTCAGTCCGCCCCTGAACATGACAATTGAGTGGTTACCATGCTGCGTTGCGGGATGAGGGGGAGCAGAGCTCTATGTCAGAACAACATTATAGATTTGCAGATTTACGAGTCCTGGTTTGCAAACACTCAGGTGCATGAAGCTTCAAACAAACTAAAATGTATATACAGACACCTTAGCATCTGCTTCTCTGTTTGTTAATGACACTGCTTTACCTTAAAACCAAACTCCAGGAATTAAAAAAAGAAAATCTATATTTGCAATGGGACCCCACAAACAAAGGTTAATTGCTTGTTCAGTCTAGGGATGCAGGAATAAGAAGTAACATGTACCTTACTGTCTCACTTCACAAGGGTCCCTTCCAGCAGTTCTACTGACCCCTGCCGAACCTCCCCTGTAAGGTGCTCCTAGCCTGCCTCCTCCATGTACAATGCGGAGTTAATAGCCCTGTATTATATCTAATGATGCCAAGGGATTGCCTGAAGCGCCAGAGAAGGAGAGCAATAGAGCTAGGCAGAACAGGGGTAAGGGAAGCAGCCCCTTCAACTTCCCCTAGACCTAACAAACTTTATCTCAATATTAATAGAAAAATGCCATAGACAGGGGCGGACTGACTATTTGGGCACTGCCCGAGGGCCTGGGGTCAATAGGGGGCCCCATGAGATGCCCCTGGTACCTTTTCATAGGCTTTTTTGGATGTGGTTTGAGTGTGGGCGAGGACACAGGGGCCCCATGAGTTGTCAGTCCACCCCTGGCCATAGATAATTAAGATGGTTCAGATTAAAATGCACAGTTTATTTGAACAACATTAAAAATATGCAACAATCCTAGAAGTATTACACAGGCAAACAACCAATTTGGAAAGACAAATACATTAATATATTATTAAGGAATAATGTAGCTGCAACAGTTTTGCAATGTAAAGGAGCTTACAATCTAAAGAAGGAGGTGGTACAAAAGGTAATAGCTGCAGGGGATGATCTGATGGAGGTCAGGTAGGTTTCCCTGAATAAATGAGTTTTCAAGGATCGCCTACAGGCAGACAGGGTAGGAGCTGACCGGACATACTGGGGTAGATTGATCCAGAGGAAGGGAAAGGTTCTGGAAAAGTCTTGGAGGCAGGGGCGGACTGAGAACTCATAGGGCCCCTGGGCAATAGGGGATCATGGGGCCCCTATGTCCTTGCCCTAACTCAAAAAAGCCTACGAAAAGGGTACCAGGGGCATCTCATGGGACCTCCTACTGACCCCGGGCCCTCGAGCAGTACCCGAGTTTCCAAATGGTCAGTCCACCCCTGCTTGGAGGTTAGCATGGGAGGAGGTAACAGGGGAGCTAGAAAGCAAAATGTCTTGGGAGGAGCAGAGAGGACAATTTCACTGATATCTACATGATTTTTTTTAATATAAAAAAAAAAAACCAGACAGTGATATGGAAGAACTTTGTCCAGGGAATATCAGATTGCCTCTCGGGGGATCAGGAAGGATTTTTTTTCCCTGCAGGAGCAAATTGGATCATGCTTTGCTGGGGTTTTTTTTGCCTTCCTTTGGATCAACTGTGGGTATAGGATTATAACTTTTTTTTTTTTAATGGTTGAACTGGATGGACTTTTGTCTTTTTTCAGCCAGACTGACTATGTAACTATATTTTTAGGTGCCTTTCACACAGGGTGGGCTTTTTTTGGACCAGTGGGGGATCTGTCCCCTGCTGATCAGAGCAGAACGAGTGGATGAGCTACCCATGTGTGGGCAGGGCTTGGGAACCCTAGTGGGGAAACTAAGAATTGTACACACTAATTGCATAGGTTCCAGGCAGGAGTTTGTTATATGGTAAAATCAGCATTAAGGCATAACTCCAGACGTAGAAGCTGCAGTGAGCACAGTTAACCCTCTATCAACCCAAGACTAACTGACTGTACTGTTAACACTAAGCACTCCAATACTACTACAGTTAGAGAACACCATCTCCCAGGTGCGCAGCATTTAGGAACCGGTACCACAGAGCCTACACTGGCATCCACCAACCCAGCAATACCTGTCACCACACTCCCAGTGACATTTCCAATGCTACTAATGGATCCAGGAAAGAAACTACATGCTTGCTCTCTCTCTCTCCCAGGGGCACCTCTAACTTCTCATTCGTGACTTGGATTGGAAGTAGGCGGGTGTAAACGAACACCCACTGGTCTATAGGGGTGAATGGAGGACCTGTTTGAACCCTTCACGTGAAAGGTGCCTTAGTGGTGCAAATAAATAAAATATGGGAAATATGCATGATGAAATAACTGTTTGCTGAAATCATTATATCTTTTTAAATGAACTGTGTTCGTAAAAGGGAACAAATATTCCTCTCTCTCTCATTCTTTTTATCTACTTACTACTGCAGTGGTCTAGACATCATGGCTCGCTAAAAGAGTAAACAAGGCAATTATTTGTTCTCAGCCTTGAAGTGTACGCATGGATCTCTAAAGTTTGTAGTCATTACATTTTTTCATTCAATGTTTTCTCTGTTCTGTACAAAATAACAACTTATTTGACTAGAAAACTAACATTTAAAGTAAAACCTACATTAAAAATCTACAATAAGTTTATCCATGAGACATAAATGCTATGACACAAAAAGAACACACAATAAGCCTTCGTTTTTGTTACCTGGCTTTGGGATATTTTGCCATTAAAAAATACAGCTGTTGTCCCCAACAGCTGTAAAGAAATCATTTGGTTAATACAAAATGAAGTGACAATTAAAAGCAAGAGCGGAACACAAGGAGATATATATCCCTGTGTGTCTCATCAAAACTGGCACCCAGGGGGAAGGTTATTACTGTTCACAGCTAACGCTGTCTAATTGTGAGCAATATCACTTTCTGTGTGTATTTAAAAAACACGGAAAGTACTTAAGGGAATGCGCAAAACTTCATCTGTTCCAATAATGGCAGATTTGTCCCAGATGCCAAAATGTAATTTTACTTGCGAATACTAATTAAGATGATGGGAGAGAATAGAATATGTAACATTTTTCTATTTGCATACTGTGCAGTGTGACTGAGCAGTTAATGATCTATGGGGCAGATCCACAGAGAAATAAAGTTCTCTCCTTGGGGTATGACTTATTAAAAATATCTCAACTTATTCCCCGATGTCACGTGTCTTAAATTAAATCATGGCATATGGTAAAAATTAATAAACCTAGATATGAAAATGTTTTGATCCTCCTCAGATACATGGTAAAATTAGTCAGTGTTATTCTTAGCAGAGCAGAGCAGAGCCTTCTTAGAACACAGGGGGGTCGATTTACTAAAACTGGAGAGTGCAAAATCTGGTGCAGCTGTGCATGGTAACCAATCAGCTTCTAACTTTAGTTTGTTCAAAAAATACTGGAAGGTGATTGGTTTCTATGGAGAGCTGCAGCAGATTTTGCACTCTCCAGTTTTAGCAAATAAGCCCCATGGCATTCTCATTACATCACATAGCCCACAAAATAAAAGGATTAGACCCCAAACTGCCAACTGATGAAAAAAGTGGAGATATCAAAATACTGATTTATTGCAGGCTAGGTGGAGATGACTGAAAAGATAATGGAATGAAAGCATAATTTGTGTTATTCGTAGCTAATAAATTCATAACTTTCCAGTACAGTAAAGAATGAAAGATGGCAGATGGATTTTTAATTGTTGTTGTTATTGGGCAGCACAGAAATCCACTATTTACATGTCAGCCTATTTTCGGCCGTGTGGCATATTCCTAACTGCAGACAATATATTTACTTTTTTCTTTTTTTGGCATTGGATAGAGTAGGAAAGAATTTTTTTTTTTTCTGATTCAATACGTTTTATTGGATTTACAACAAAAAATCAAGATGTAATTTTGGAACATACTCAGGTAAATAACCAGTCATACTGTCATGGTCAGGGGTCAGGCTCAGGGGCCAGTAGCTATAGCAGTAGAGAGCAGGGGCGGACTGACCATTTTGAAACTCGGGCACTGCCCGAGGGCCCGGGGTCAGTAGGGGGCCCCCAGAGATGCCTCTGGTACCTTTTTCATAGGCTTTTTTGAATTTGGGCAAGGACACAGAGGCCCCATGATCCCCTACTGCCTGGGGGCCCCATGAGTTGTCAGTCCACCCCTGGTAGAGAGGCTCCCAGCAACCAGCTCAATAAGTGCAGCAGCAGATCACACTGATGGATGACACGGGCTCTCCCAAGTTGGGGAGTCTAAACACTAACCGGTGTTCATCAGAGCTCCTGATGGTGGAGATGGGATTTGCTGCATGTTAGAACCAGTACATGTTCCTCAGGATCACTCCACCAGGAGGTGAACAAGCAGAAGTCCAGTAGCAGATATAGAAGGTAGGGATCAAGCAGAAGCATAGTCAGTAAACAAGCCATAGGTCGGTAACACAGCGTCGCAAGTTAGGATTAAGCAGAAGCGTAGTTGAGGAACAAGCCAAAGGTTGGTAACAAATGGTAGCGGAGATACAGATGGCAGCAAGTGACACGATCGAGATATCTGCAGGAGGGAGCACAATAATCTATCAAAGAAGAAGTGCAAAGACATGGCTTAATTAGGGAGTTCATTAGAGGAGCAAGGAGTTCAAAATACAGCAGAAACAAGGCACAAGGCAGGATTGTCCAATTGATCGGATAACGAACTGTCCAGCACAACAGAGGTTGCAGGTTCAGAACTGGGTCCTGCCAAATATTATGGTGGATAAATACACTGAAAAGTCATTGGGTCGGTGAAACACAGAACATTAATATTACTTAGTTACAAATCCATATAATGCAATGTGAAAGAGTTATGCCTGGTACACAGCTGGCTGAACAAAAAAAACTTTGAGATTGCTGTACTAACTAAGCAATGTTAGTGCGGTGATCTCTCCCACTTTGCCTTTGTGTCCTGTCCTCCCTCCCCCTTCCAGAACACATTAATCAGCATTTGCAACTATTGGCTGCAAGTGCTGATCAGATGCTGGTTTTCCAGCATGTTCCTTTGATAACAGCAGGTCCTTAGACTGGCTTCTGTTGGAAAGACAGCTGTACACATGGTCCAAACCAGCACTCCTGTTGAACCGATACTTGGACCATGTGTACTAAGCTTTAGGATCACATTTATAGCTAGTGTTTTTACCCTTTGCCTGTTAGCCCAGAAAATTGATTTTACAGGTTTGGCTCCTAATATTTTTAGTGGGGTTCGGCATCTGAATTTCTTTGAAGATCACCAAATTTTGCTCACACCAAACTCATCTCATGCCTACTTATGATCTTGCTTGGCACTTTAATGTTTGTATTTGTTATTCATGTTATGAACAGGGATTCTGCTGGTGGTAAGAGCTTGCTAATATCCCCATATTTTCGTTAGAAAATCTTAAAAGCTTAAAGGATAAGTTCATCTTTCCGAACATGTTACATATTACACCCATATTCAGAGTGTAACACGTTATGTTCAGACCAGCACCCCCCCCCCCTGATCCCCGCTTTGACAGCTAGCAAAATGTGGCTGTGTTCGGGGCTAAGCCCACACAGCTGCATCACTCATTCAGAGTCATCTGTGAATGAGAGACTACAAGTCCTGACAGTCTTAGTAGCTGTCAGCTTGTAGTCCTCAATGAACTACCATGGCGCTGTGGAGCGTTGTGCTAGTCCATTCATTCTTCCTGTCAGAATATCTGTTTGCTCATACATCCCCTATGGCAAGCAGATGTTCTGACAGGTCTGCAGGAGACCTGCATGGCATCAGCGATCTACTGGGCGCTGGTGCATTGCTTTCCAGGCTCCTACAGACAAAAATAATAAATGCAAATTTTTTAACCTGTAAAAAAATTTGCATTTATTATTTTTTCCTAAAAGGTGAACTTATCCTTTAAGGACCCTTTCACATGGCCGTTCAGATCAGGTCTGTCACTTATTTGTTCAGGTGGACCTGTTTGAAAGGTCCATTCATCCCTATGGACAGGCAGATGTTGTCCATTTACACCTGCCTACCTCCTGGTCCAATCAGGACTGCCAAAAACAAGAGGGGGATACAGCCTCTTCGGTCTAGTCAGGTCAGATTGGAAGGTAGTCGAGTGTAAATGGACAGTGGAGTCCGTTTACAACTGGCTACTGATAAAATAGAGTGGGCTCAGATGTCTGATTGCCCGCTCTGCTCTGATCAGCAGGGGATCTGTGAGCTGATCTCCTGCTGATTGGAACATTATCTGCCCTGTATGAAAGGGGCCTAAACCAATGTAAATGTAAAATTATTTTTTTTGTAACCAAATGCATTGAAATAATTCACACAAATGACCATATTTGTCGCTTCATAACATGCATTTTTCCCCCCATAAAATGGGGGAAAATGTCTGTGCATCTTATGGAGTGAATATTGAGTGGCTGGCCTGGTATTCCCCCTGTGTTAGAATACCAGGCCAGCCGCTCGGCTCTTCTTTGCAGACCTCCAGTGGTCCTACCTGTTCTTCTGCCCAGTGGTGTCCTCAGTCTTCTCTCCCCAGAGCCGGCATGGGCACCCGGCTGTGACAGCAAGCTACTTCACAGCCAGGTGTCCACTGCGCATGCGTGAGAATCGCCGTGCTTTGTGAATGGTCCTGTAATTTTCTGGGACCTGTCACTTGTCCCAGAAGATTACAGGGAAGGAGGGGGAAGGACAACTATGTGGAAGTGGGAGTGGCTGTCAAATTTGGGTACCCTCTCCCCCCCCCCCACTCCCCAAAGGTCCGCAGTCTCTGGTCTTCTGTACTGTGTCTGCACTCTCTGGTCTTCTGTACTGTGTCTGCAGTCTCTGGTCATCCCCTGCACCGTGTCCGCAGTCTCTGGTCATCCCCTGTACCATGTCCGCAGTCTCTGGTCATCTCCTGTACCATGTCCGCAGTCTCTGGTCATCTCCTGTAGTATTTCCACAGTCTCTGGTCATCTCCTGTAGTATTTCCACAGTCTCTGGTCATCTCCTGTACTGTGTCCGCAGTCTCTGGTCATCTCCTGCACCATGTCCACAGTCTCTGATCATCTCCTGTACTAAGTCCGTAGTCTCTGGTCATCTCCTGTAGTATGTCCGCAGTCTCTGGTCATCTCCTGTACTATGTCCGCAGTCTCTGGTCATCTCCTGTACTGTGTCTGCAGTCTCTGTTCATCTCCTGTACTGTGTCTGCAGTCTCTGATCATCTCCTGTACTGTGGCTGCAGTCTCTGGTCATCTCCTGTACTGTGTCCACAGTCTCCGGTCATCTCCTGTACTGTGTCCGCAGTCTCTGGTCATCTCCTGTACTGTGTCTGCAGTCTCTGGTCATCTCCTGTACTGTGTCCGCAGTCTCTGGTCATCTCCTGTAGTATATCCACAGTCTCTGGTCATCTCCTGTAGAATGTCCGCAGTCTCTGGTCATCTTCTGTACTATGTTTGCAGTCTCTGGTCATCTCCTGTAGTATGTCCGCAGTCTCTGGTCATCTCCTGTAGTATGTTCGCAGTCTCTGGTCATCTTCTGTACTATGTCTGCAGTCTCTGGTCATCTCCTGTACTATGCCTGCAGTCCATTGGTTCAGAATATTTTTTTTCCTGTTTTCTACCTCTAAAATCTAGGTGCGTCTTATGGTCAGGTGTGTCTTATGGAGCGAAAAATACGGTACATAGAAATGTCCCCTGGTCTACAGTACATGTAGTATACAGTATATGTAGTTGCCTGTTTGTATCTTTCCAGTTTTAACTTGTTCGCCTTGTTGTCATACACTCCCTAAGGCAACAAGAGGATGGTTAATTATGAGTAACCACTTGGGAATAAAACACATCAGACTCTGAGCACTTGATCACTTTACAAATAATACATGGCAGTTTCACTTGTATTCTTGTATCTATTTAGATTTAAAGCATGACGTTGTACTTTATCAAATGTTGGCCTGAAATATACAGCCTTTTGTGTGTTTTATTTGTTTTTTTTTTCATTTTATAAAACAGCTGGCTGTGAAGTAGTTAACATGTTCTGTTAAAAGCGAAAGAATTGTGTTTGAACATTGAAATATAATTTACAGGGATGGCCCTGGGGAGGAAGACAGTTTTCGAGTCACTGCTTCCATTGGCTTAATTATGGGAAGAAGAGAGGCAGGAGATCGCTTTTGCAGAGTGGTTATGACAGAGCATATTCGTAGATTTATTTTCTTGTTTACACAATGCAGAAATTGTTTTTGTTTACCAATCTTTCGATTTCATTGTAACTCCTAATAGTAAGTTTAGGTTTATGTGATTTATAAAGCTGTTAGCCTACAGTTGTGTCCAAAATTATTCAACCCCCAATGCTGTAAAGGGGTTTAGGGACTATAGTGTACATTTGGAATTGTATTCAGAATCAAATCCTACAAGGACGTTGTAACTACCCAAATGCAACTAAAATGACATCAATTGTTTATGTAATACAGTAGTAAATGGTTCTTATGTGGTTTCTTCATTGCCACAATTATTCAACCCCTTAAAGACTACCACTCTGAAGAACAGAGGTTCATACAGGTGCTTTCCATCAGGTATTGAAAACACCTGTGGATGTCACCGAGCAGCAATCAAGCATAATAAGCACCAATTAGGCAGCTTTAAAATGACTGTGATACTCAGCTCCTTCTAGACATTTACTGGTGTGGTTACAAACATGGTGAAGGCAAGAGAATGGTCCAGGAAGACAAGAGAAGAGGTGATTTCTCTTCACAGGAAGGGCAATGGCTATAAGAAGATTGCAAAGATGTTAAACATACCAAGAGACACCTTAGGAAGCATCATTCGCAAATTCAAGGCAAAGGGCACTGTTGAAACGCTACCTGGTCGTGGCAGAAAGAAGATGCTGACTTCGACTGCTGTGCGCTACCTGAAGCGTAGAGTGGAGAGAAGTCCCCGTGTGACTGCTGAGGAACTGAGAAAAGATTTGTCAGATGTGGGTACAGAAGTTTCAGCCCAGACAATAAGACGCACACTGCGTAATGAAGGCCTCCGTGCCAGAACTCCCAGGCGTACCCCCTTGCTGTCTCCAAAGAATAAGAAGAGTCGACTGCAGTATGCCAAAAGCCATGTGGACAAACCACAAAAGTTGTGGGATAGTGTTCTGTGGACTGATGAAACAAAATTAGAACTGTTTGGGCCCATGGATCAACGCTATGTTTGGAGGAGGAAGAACAAGGCCTATGATGAAAAGAACACCTTGCCTACTGTGAAGCATGGTGGAGGGTCAATCATGCTTTGGGGCTGTTTTGCTTCTGCAGGTACAGGGAAGCTTCAGCGTGTGCAAGGTACCATGAATTCTCTTCAGTACCAGGAGATATTGGATGGAAACGTGATGCAGTCCGTCACACACCTGAGGCTTGGGAGACGTTGGACCTTTCAACAGGACAATGATCCCAAGCATACCTCCAAGTCCACTAGAGCATGGTTGCAGAGGAAAGGCTGGAACATTTTGGAGTGGCCATCGCAGTCACCAGACTTAAATCCGATTGAGAACCTCTGGTGGGACTTAAAGAAAGCAGTTGCAGTGCGCAAGCCTAAGAATGTGACTGAACTGGAGGCCTTTGCCCATGAAGAATGGGCGAAGATACCCGTAGATCGCTGCAAGACACTTGTGTCAAGCTATGCTTCACGTTTAAAAGCTGTTATAACTGTAAAAGGATGCTGTACTAAGTACTAAGATTGAATGTCACTTGGGGTTGAATAAAACTGATAATGCTGTGAGCACAGAAAAGACATTTGTGGTTATTTCATTATAACTGTTATGTTATATTTGTCTGACCTACAAGTGCCTCTTTAATGTAAATGTAAGCAAGATGACTGAATGATCAAAAGCAATGTCAAACTGGCCAAAACACTCAATTTCAGTGGGGGTTGAATAATTTTGGACACAACTGTAAATATGCATACAAGGCATCTTTTTCAAATTACCGTATTTGCCGGCGTATAAGACGACTGGGCGTATAAGACGACCCCCCTACTTTTCCTGCTAAAATGTAGTGTTTGGGCTATACTCGCCGTATAAGACTACCCCTCTTCCAATGCACACCAGTGGGAGGAATAGTGCCCCATCATTGATGTCAGTGGGAGGAATAGTGCCCCATCATTGGTGTCAGTGGGAGGAATAGTGCCCCATCATTGGTGTCAGTGGAAGGAATAGTGCCCCATCATTGGTATCAGTGGCAGGAATAGTGCCCCATCATTGGTATCAGTGGGAGGAATAGTGCCCCATCATTGGTATCAGTGGCAGGAATGGTGCCCCATCATTGGTATCAGTGGCAGGAATAGTGCCCCATCATTGGTATCAGTGGCAGGAATAGTGCCCCATCATTGGTGTCAGTGGGAGGAATGGTGTCCCATCATTGGTGTCAGTGAGGGGTGGAATAGTGCCCCATCATTGGTGTCAGTGGGGGGTGGAATAGTGCCCCATCGTTGGTGTCAGTGGGGGGGGGAATAGTGCCCCATCGTTGGTGTCAGTGGGGGGGAGGAATAGTGCCCCATCGTTGGTATCAGTGGGAGGAATAGTGCCCCATCATTGGTATCAGTGACACCAATGATGGGGCACTATTCCTCCCACTGAGACTTGCTGACCCTGTTCTCGTATGGTGCTGCTGCAGCCAGCATATGTGGTTGCAGCAGCACCTCTACACAGAACACTTACCTGCTGCTCCGGCACTCAATTTTCGCGGGGCCGCTCGGCTCCGCCCCCTCGCCGGTGATTGGCCGCCTGTGTGCCTTTCCTGAGCTACAGTTCTGGCGGCCAATCACCGGTGAGGAGGCGGAGCCGAGCAGCCGCACGAACATCCAGTGGCCGAACTGAAGGAGACGCCGCGCTTCCTGGACCGGATCGTCGTGGGACTGGATCCACGTAAGAGACATCAGCCCCTGCAAACCCCTGTACTTAATGCCGCAGCCCCCCTAACATGTGTACCGGCGTATAAGACGACCCCCGACTTTTGAGAAGATTTTCAAGGGTCAAAAAGTCGTCTTATACGCCGGCAAATACGGTAAACAAAAATGCGATTGCCAACGTAAAAGGAGAAAATGATATAGTTTTATATATACATAAATAAGTTAAAAACATTAAATACGATAAAATACTAAATTAATCATTCCTTTCAAAACACATGCTTTCGTTCTCTGTATCATTTTTTTTTGCTTATTGTGTTCAAATAATAAAATGCAGCTCAGACTGCAATATACACCTTTTATCTAGAGCTGCCCCATTCCAGCAGTGCAGTACGCCGCCACAAGATGTTCTTAATCTTCTAGATTGAATGACCGCCAGCATCACCCATCATTCACAGTATATTAATGCAGAGAGTGGAGCTGAAGTCATTATCTAGAGCAGCCTTTCTCAACCAAGGTGCCCAGGCACCCTGGGGAGCCTTTAGCTTTCTTCAGGGTTGTCTTGGCAAAATGTCTAAAAATTGCCCAAAACTTGTATACAAGCCAGCGGGTGGAACAAGCCTGCCTTTTAGTTACAACAGGTTTTCATTGTGCGCAATTACAACCTTCTAGCCACCGGCGTCCTGACAATCAATGATATCATCAGTTGATAAGGAGGATGTCAGCTGCCTGCACAGCATTCTAGTTTGACCCTCCCCTGCCCCTCTCCATCAGTGCTGGGGTCACATTAGCTCAGTGATGGATAAAAACTGAGAGAGAAGAGAAACAATGGAATACTAGTCAGTACCAGTGTGCAAATGTGCATTTGCTTTGGAAGAATAAATCACCTCTAATGTTGGGTGTCCTACATGTAGTTATATAAAACTATTAGAATCGTTTTTCACATTTTAGAATGGGTGTCTCAAGACTGTCCATAATTTTAAAGGGTGCTTCGGGATCGTCCATAATTTTCAAGGGTGTCTTGACTGAAAAAAGGTTGAGAAACACTAAACTAGAGGATCGCTCAACACTAGGTGTAGAATGAGGAGGAAGAGGACTGGCCCAGAGACTTAGAATGAGGAGGAAGAGGACCGCCCAGAGACTTTACAAATAAGTTAGTATATAAAAAAAAAAATCATAAAATACATGCTAAGGGAACACAAGGAGGAGGTGGTGTGATTGTCTGATGGGGACTGAGCCGAAAGTTGAGCTTTAAAGCTACAAACAGACATTCAGATTGACACTGTGCCTCTGAAAAGTGATCTGCGTTCAGAAAGCTTTTTAGATGTGTTTGACAGACGTCCTATCGCATTTTCACAATGTGTTTTTTTATATATATATATATATATTTTTATTCATTTTCAACATAAGTAAACAAAATATATCAAAATGGACAACTGAATTCCATTCAAATAAAATAAAATGAAAGAACAAAAGAAAAAAAAAAAATAGATCAAGAG